TTGCCTAAACGGCTCATCGTTGGCTTGATAAGCTATTGTCTTATGATCAGATGCACTGGTGGTAATGAGAGGTGTGGGGCCTCCATTAGAGGGGCGTGTCCTCCTGCTTGGAGCCAGTGGGGTGACAAATGCTACAAGAAACTCAGCGAGAATCTACCATGGGCTGAGGCAAAACAGGAGTGCATCAAGATGGGAAGTGTCTTGGTCATGCCACAGTCTCAGGAGGAAACTGACTTCCTTCAGAAGAACGTGTACTACTGGTTCTGGATCAACTGCAATGATCTTCAAGTTGAAGGTTTGTAAACTTACATTGCTTAAACAATGAAGGAATTCTATTTTCCGAGATTTTCAAAGGAAACAATTTTTCTCTCCTATTGCAAAGAAAGAAATTTTATTATTTACATTTAAAAGTTTAAACATACATACATGATTTTAAATTCTTAAAGCTTGACAGTAAAATTCAAGCCAAATAAAACTATTCTGTGTGTGTTTGTTAGGTGCATGGTTGTGTCAAGATAGCACTACTGATGTTGAGTACAGAAACTGGGGTAAGGGTGAACCTAGCAGCACCAGCGAAGATTGTGCAGTGGTGACAAATAGAGGTGATTGGAATGATGTGTCATGTGACGATCTCTCTCCTGTCATCTGCAAACGACCAGCACCACAGCTGCACTTTTAAGTAACGTCAAACAACTGACTGCTAATCAAATTTAACACCCCTCCCCAAAAATTAAAGAATGAAATCATGTAGAAAGTATTGCAACTATGCAAGTGATTGATAGAACCATTTGAACCATCATGAATTTTGGATATACAATGTGAGAAGATAAAAACACTTAAAAAAATGTTGTTCTCATAGAATACATGTATCTCCGTAATTTGTGCTCTTTGGAAAATAGTTTCACTTTTTTCTGTATTTTTCATTCACAGAAACCGTTGTGAAAATATGCAATTTAACCACTTGAACAATTACAAAGTTTGGGCACACAATTTGAGATGATGAAAAAAACAAGTCATTTTTTTAAAAATCTTGTTGGAAGTCCTCACAGAAAACATTGTATGAGTGTATCGTTTTAAATTTGTCCTTGTGGAAAATATCATTAATTATATGTTTATTTCTTTCAGTTTCAGAACTTTTCAATTTTTGTTTCCTTCGGTAAGATAATCCCAAATGAACGAGTAACAATTTCGATGCTGCAGTATTTAGTCAAGTTATATACTGAGTCTTTTATATATCTTTGATTGTGCAACACCCTTTTCTGAGTAAAGTATCTGTTTTCGTTAATTTCACAGATTTCTGTTTTTATCAAGACTTTTTCTCACTTTAATTTTAAAACCAGATCAGTTCTGCTACAGTGTTAACTTTGTAACATAAACCTCAAACAAACAGAACAAATGTTTAAAAATACCTTATGCACAACCAAATACAACATTATATTAACTTCGTTGTGCACTAATTCTGTGGTATAGAGAAATTACTGTTCTTGTTTAAACATCTGTAATACTATAACACATTGTAATTGTGGATAACCAATTAAAATGTTGCAACTTCAGACAACTAATAAGCATCTGCATGCACTGATTCCGGAAGTATTAACAAATCCCACAAATGTTCCTTTTTTTAGGGGGGGGGGGTGGGTTTAGAAAGCAAATTTGCTTGAATACGCCTATGGTCACATATGTTGTTGAAAATGTCCTTCGCCATCATTTTGTATTGGTGGGCAAACTTACACAAAATGACAAAATATAGCCAAAGAAGCATCAACTTTTCACCAAATTTGGCAAGCAGGTGTTGAAGTGTAGATCACGTGACTTCCACTCTAGAATTGCTGGCGTTATGTCTATGTACAATTTAAACACTAAACATGCACAGCGCTTGTGCTGGCTGGCCTGTGGCATTGAAGTCACTCAAGAAATCTGAAACCTTTTAAATTTGATCAACCACTTGATTAGCTTCTCAGCGTAGTAATGACATGTCACACACAAAGAAAGAAGCAGTCATTAGCGACCCAGTTTGAAGCAGGCTTCATAACGGTGAGTCAATCTTCATTAACTGATACAACAAATCTAAGATGAAATGCCTTGACTGATACAACACACTATAGACTAGCTGCACGCCATCAATCAAAACTCCAATAGAAGGGCGAGTGTCAAATTTCAACGAAATACTAACAACCCAAAGCAATCTAGTGAGATCACTGCTGAAGTCATCTACCAGTCAGTAAGTCAGCCAGTCACTTGATACAAAGTAAAAATTAACGATCCAGCAAAAGAAGTGGAGCGTTTATCACCAATTGCAGAAACTTCATAACAGCGAGTCCATCTTCATAAACTGAAACAACAAATCTCTGATGAAGTCTGTTAGCCGATACAATGCATTGAGGATGAGTTGGGTCAAGCCAATATATAGCTTGACACATTTATTGGAAAGACTCAACTTGAAGGGCAGGTTTGATATTGGAAGAAAATATTGATGGTAGCTCTTGATGAGCATAATAGCCCCGGCAATAATAGGGTACAAACAGTAGCTGACAGTGAGAGCGTAGCTTCATATCTACACTGAGCACTAGTGAGGTAACATCTTGAAATGATGTTGCCAAAACGTCTCATCGTTGGTTTGATAAGCCTTTGTCTTGTGATCAGATGCACTGGTGGTAATGAGAGGTGTGGAGCCTCCATTAGAGAGGCGTGTCCTTCTGCTTGGAGCAAGTGGGGTGACTCATGCTACAAGCAACTCAGCGAGAATCTACCATGGGCTGAGGCAAAACAGGAGTGCATCAAGATGGGAAGTGTCTTGGTCATGCCACAGTCTCAGGAGGAAACTGAGTTCCTTCTCAAGAACCTGATCGACTACTTTTGGATCAACTGTAGTGATCAGCAAGTTGAAGGTTTGTCTACTAATGAATGAATAAATTCAATTTTCCAAGATTTTCATAGGAAACATATTTTTTCTCCTTTTTGGAAAGGAAAGAAATGACATTGTTAAGATTTCAAACTTCAAACAAAAATGGTTCTCATTTCTTACAGCTTCACAGTAAACTTCTAACCAAATAACTAAAACCAGACATTAATATTCTCTGTGTGTCAGGTACATGGGTGTGTCAAGACGGCACTACTGATGTGGAGTACAGAAACTGGAGGGATGGTGAACCTAGTAACGGCTGGGGAAAGGAAGATTGTGCAGCAGCGGGAGAATCTGGTTGGAATGACGTTCCATGTGACGATCTCGCTCCTGTCATCTGCCAACGACCAGCACCACAGCTGCACTTTTAAGTGTCAACAAAAACACTGACTGCTCATCAAAAAATAAGTACGCATAGTAATTTATTTTCGTTTATTGTAAATTATACCCTCAAAAAGCAAGGTATCATGTAGACAGTACTGTGAATATGCAACTGATCAATTTAAGGCAATCGTACATTTTGGGCAAACAATTTTAGAAGATGAAAAACAATTTTAAAATATAGTAATAATAAAGATTGCTGAGGCATGAGGTACTCTGTATAGAATACTTAGTTCTAAACTAATGTCTTTTTGTAATTTGTGCTTGTTGGAAAATAGTTTCACTTATCTGTATTTTTCATTCACGAAAAATGTGTTGTCAACATATGCAACTGAACCACTTAGACAATCACAAATTTTGGGCAAACAATTTTGGAAGATAAAAAAAAAAACAATTTTAAAATAGAATAATAAAAAGATTGTTGATGCATGAGGTACTCCTTATAGAATGCTTAGTTCTAAACATATATAATTTTTAATTTGTGCTTGGTGGAAAATAGTTTCACTTAATTTTCTGTATTTTTATTTCACTGTGAACATATTGTGAATATATCCAATTTAACCACTTGGACAATCACAAAATTTGAGTGCACAGTTTGAGATGATGAAAAAAACAATGCACTTTTGTTTTCAATCCTATTCGTAGTCCTCACAGAATACATGTATGAATGAATCTTTGTTCATTTGAGCGCGTGGAAAATATTTTTAATAACATGTTTATTTCTTTCAGTTTCAGAACTGTTCAGTTTTCGTTTCCTTTTGTAAGATAATCTCAATTTGAAATGTAACAATTCGATGACATGAAATAAATGAAAAGCTGATGCTGCAGTATTTAGTGAAGTTATATATTGAGTCTTATGTTATATCTTTGCTTGTCAAGTACCTTTTTCTGAATTGTTTGTCTGATTCTTTCAATTTCACACATTTTTTTCTTGTCTTTTTCTCACTTTCATTATAACCACATCAGTTCTGTTACAGTGTTTACTTGGTAATATGAACCCAATGCATTCACTGATATAGCTACTAAGGGAATAAATACGTGCTTGGCCGTTTTTAAGCAAGTACGTTCAATACCAGCTAGGGACCTGGTCACCAATTTTGAACGTACTTGTTTGAAACCATCCAAGCAGATATTTATTCCCATTTCATAAATACCTTTTGGTCAAAAAATTATAGGCAAATTTCCAACAATCTTGTTCTACAATTTACTTCATGTTTTGTGAAACATCCCTCTTGTCATGTCTATAGTATGTGCCTCACGCGCGTGGTGCTAAAACAAATTTTTATTGTCATTGATATATCCAAAAAGGAGGCCAAGGTTATAAGTATCATGATCACGTTGTGATCATGATCACGAGGTGCAATTAAATTGACTTGCAATGTCCCACCTTAGTTTAGTAAGCTCTGACAAAGACTTCTGTTTTCCGCTGTCATAGTAACCAACCCCCTTTCAATGTCCATGAACATAGTGAATTTTGTATCAATGGAGTTTTGCGGGCAGAATGAAATTCGCAGCGCAGTTGATCGATTAATTTCACTAGAAATACATGAAGTGTGAATTCTTATTGTATCCACTGGCGCAACATTAATAATGTGAACACTTTAAAATTAACTGCCATACATCTTCCAATGCAGCACTGCAGAAAGACATCTGATGAGAAGGGGGTACGCAATGCGCATTTCACATCCAGGCACCAGTCTGGTAACTCCTGAAAAAGATGTTGCCTAAACAACTCATCATTGGCTTGATAAGCCTTTGTCTTATGATCAGATGCACTGGTGGTAATGAGAGGTGTGAGGCCTCCATTAGAGGGGCGTGTCCTCCTGCTTGGATCCAGTGGGGTGACAAATGCTACAAACAAGGCAGCGAAGATCTACCATGGCTTGAGGCAAAACAGGAGTGCATCCAGATGGGAAGTGTCTTGGTCATGCCACAGTCTCAGGGGGAAACTGACTTCCTTCTGAAGAACCTGATCCACAAGTTTTGGATAAACTGCAACGATCTTCAAGTTGAAGGTTTGTCAACTTATATTTCTTAAACTTTGACTGAATTCTATTTCCAAGTTGTTCACAATCTTTCTTTCCTTTTTGGAAGGGAAAGTAATTTTATTATCAACATTTCAAACTTCAAAACATACATGCTTCTCAATTCTTTAAGCTCAAAGTAAAATTCAATCCAAATAAAACCCTCATTAGCATTCACTGTTGTGTGTTAGGTACATGGGTGTGTCAAGATGGCACTACTGATGTGGAGTACAGAAACTGGAGGGTGGAGCCTGCTGAACCTAATAATTTCGGGGGAGGAGAAGATTGTGCAGTAGCAAAAGAGGCTAGTTGGAATGACGTACCATGTGAGACTCATGTTCCCACTATCTGCAAACGACCTGCACCACAGCTGCACCTATAAAGGGCCCATGCAATGTAATGTTTTTAATGCAATCCTTGAAAATGCACCTTTGTGTCCCACTTAACCTTATTTTGGTCCCTTTTTTGTTTTTATGCTAATGGAAATTTACATATTCATAAGCAAAAGTTTGATGTCATTTCAGGCAGAAACCTCCATTTTATAGCTATTTCAGCTACCAAACGTTACCAGAATTGTGGACATGTTGCGGTCCTAAATGTTCTTTTCTTTGGTGATTCGTCGGCTATTTCAGTTCAAGACAGTAAGCCAATGAGCAAACTTTTGCACAAATATTTCGGTACGCAAAAATGTTTGGGTCACAATCTGAACAGAAAACCCCTAAACTGAACAGTGTCTTCCTGAAATGACATTACAAAAATAGTGCCTAATGTTTAAGAAGGATCCTTTACAATAAAATAACAATATAAGAATGTCAAACAGTTTTCATGCATTTCTAAGATGTAAAAAGTTGCACGAACATGTTCCCGTGTAAAATTCATCTCATGGTCTCTTTAAACTGGCAATAAAAATTTTGATTTCTAATCAAAAACTAAAACTTACAAAGTCAGTTATTTATTTAAATAAATAAATATTAAACGTAACATGTAGAATGTAAAAATTGTACAGTCTGAACCACTGTAAAATGTTTGGCAACAATTTGTTTTTAAAAAATAGCTACGTTGATGGTAGTCCTTATAGAAAACTTGTGAATATAGAATAATTTTGATGTGGAATTAACTCGTATTTTACTATTTATTTATCTTTCTTTCAATTTCAGAGATTTCACATTTTCATTTTAGTTCCCCACTTTCAATTTACATTGTTGCCTGGGCACTACGAGCCAATGTATCAATTGGCCACACAGATTTTTGCTTTCAAAATGTAAATGTAGCATTTGATTGTTAAGGAAGCTGACTGGCAAAAATTATTAACTTCTCCACTCCAAAAAAGGGCAATATTCATTAGGGCTATCTGACTTGATTTGACAGGAATTGTGATAGTTCAAAACTTGTTGGGTTCTGCAAGGTTCCAAGGCAAAATCGGGACTACAAGTTTATTTCGGTCCAAAACTCAAAACAAAACTAGGGAAAAAAATAACTTTCATCAGACATTATTCTAGATTTCAAAGTATGTTCCTGGAAATAAGGTTGACTTGAGCCGCTAACTACCCATATTTCTATTTGTGTATAGCACTGTGAATGCATGGACACCTTTATGATGTTTTTTGGTAGAATCCAAAAACAAATTTGGCATTTTCTGATGAATCTTCTCAATGCAGAACCGGTACCTTGTATATTCCAACCATGAGCATAAGCTTTCATCCGTGAAGTCATTTTTGAATTGTTTACATTACTTGTTGATTAATTTATTATATTTATTCATCGACTCATTTTGTGTTTGGTATTTTCAGCAATATTGAAATAAATGTATGAATAAATAAATACAACAGATTTTATGGACCGATGCTTGTAGTCATAGAAATCGTGGTAACCATGGCAATTCAAGTAAACAAGCATCAGAAATGTGTTATAAAGCACACAGCAAAGGCTTGCTAACATATCCAATTGAAAAATTCTCTTTGTGTCAATTGGGGCAGAATAAATTTACGGCATCGTCAAGCGCACTACTACAATAAAGGATTGATGACAAAATCGCCCTTCATTTCACCACTGGGAACCAGTCTGGTAACATCTGAAAATGATGTTGCCAAAACATCTTATCGTTGGCTTGATAAGCCTTTGTCTTATGATCCGATGCACTCGTGGTAATGAGAGGTGTGGGGCCTCCATTAGAGGGGCGTGTCCTCCTGCTTGGAGCCAGTGGGGTGACACATGCTACAAGAAACTCAGCGGGAAACTACCATGGGCTGAGGCAAAACAGGAGTGCATCAAGATGGGAAGTGTCTTGGTCATGCCACAGTCTCAGGAGGAAACTGAGTTTCTTCAGAACAACATGCACAGCCGGTTTTGGATCAACTGTAGTGATCTTCACGTTGAAGGTTTGTCAACTTATATTGCTAAAACATTGACTGACTTCCATTTCCAAATTGTTTAGAGGAAACAATGTTGCTTTCATTTTGGAAAGCAAGTAATTTCATTATTAAAAGTTTCAAACGTCAAACGTATGATTCTCAATTCTTAAAGCTTTACAGTGAAATTCAAGCCCAATAAAACCTGACATTACATATTATCTGTGTGTGTCAGGTACATGGGTGTGTCAAGATGGCACTACTGATGTGGAGTACAGAAACTGGAAGGAGGGTGAACCTAATAATGGCGGGGGAAGAGAAGATTGTGCAGCAGCGGGAAAATCTGGTTGGAATGATGTTCAATGTGAGGATCTCTCTCCTGTTATCTGCCAACGACCAGCACCACAACTGCACTTTTAAGTGACAACAAACAACCGACTTGTCATAAAAACATAATTCATTTTCTTTTATTGTAAATTACATCCCCCAGAAAAGCAAGGCATCCTATAGACAGTACTGTGAATATGCAATTGAACAAAGTCAATTTGGACACTCGCAAACTTTGGGCAAACACTTTCAGCAAATGAATAACAATTTACAAATGTAATAATCAAACAATTGTTAATGCATGTGGTACTCTTCAGAGGATACTTAGTGCTAAGCATGTATCTTTTCAATGTGTGCTATTTGGAAAATACTTTCACTTTTTGCTCTGCAATTTTTCACAGAGAACAAATGTATGCAATTGAACCACTTGGACAATTACAAAATTTGGGCATACAATTTGAGATGATGAAAAACAATGTTTTAAAAAGATAAAAATATATATGGTGGTGGTCGTCACAGAATACATGTATGAATGTATTTTTTTTTTTATTTGTAATGGTGGAAAATATTTTAATTATATGTTTATTTTATTTAGTTACAGAACTTTTCAATTTTCGTTTCCTGTTCTAAGAATAGTCTCCTTTGGTAATGTAATTAGGCTACAATTGGATGGCATGTAATAAATGAAAATATGAAGCTGCAGTATTTAGTCAAGACTTAGTTATTTGTTATATCTTTGGTTATGGAGCATTTTTCTCAGAATGTTTTCTCTAATTCTTTCAATTTCACCTTCTTTCAAGTCTTTTGCACATTTTCATTTTAAATAACATCAGTTCTGTTACAGTGTTAACTTGGTAATATGAACCCAATGCATTATAAATTGACATTGCTACTATAGGAATACATATGTGCTTAGCCGTTTTTAAGCACATATGTTATAACCAGATAGGGAACTTGTTACCGGTTTGAACGTACTTCTTTAAAACCGGCCAAGCAAATATTAATTCCCATTTCGTAAATACCTTTCAGTCAAAAAAATTCAAAACAAGTCAAACATTTACAAATTTCCAACGATTTTGTTCAACAATTTACTTCATGTTTTGTTGGGAAAAAAACCCTCTGGCCATGTTATAGTATGTGCCTCGCACGCGTGTTGCTAAAAACAGATACAATATAATCATTTTTGGATTAACAGCACTGTCATTGAGAAGGGACAGGATATTTATTGTCATTGATTTATCCAAAAAGTAGGCCAAGTTTATCAGTATCATGATCACGTTCTCAACAACCAGATATTACCAACCAAATATTATGCGAGATGCAATTAAATTGACTTGCAATGTCCCACCTTAGAATTTTGTATCAATGGAGTTCTGCAGGCAGAATGAAATTCGCAGCGCAGTTTATCGATTAATTTCACCAGAAATATATGAAGTGTGAATTCTTATTGTATCCACTGGCGCAACATTAATAATGTGAACACTTTAAAATTAACTGCCATACATCTTCCAATGCAGCACTGCAGAAAGACATCTGATGAGAAGGGGGTACGCAATGCGCATTTCACATCCAGGCACCAGTCTGGTAACATCTGAAAAAAGATGTTGCCTAAACGTCTCGTCATTGGCTTGATAAGCCTTTGTCTTATGATCAGATGCACTGGTGGTAATGAGAGGTGTGGGGCCTCCATTAGAGGGGCGTGTCCTCCTGCTTGGAGCCAGTGGGGTGACAAATGTTACAAGCAACTCAGCGAAAATCTACCATGGGCTGAGGCAAACCAGGAGTGCATCAAGATGGGAAGTGTCTTGGTCATGCCACAGTCTCAGGAGGAAACTGAGTACCTTGTGAAGAACATGATCTACTACTTTTGGATCGACTGCAGTGATCTTCAAGTTGAAGGTTTGTCAACTTCTATTGTTTTAACAACAAATGAATTCTATTTTCCAAGATTTTCATAGCAAACAATTCTTCTCTCCTTTTGGAAAGGAAAAAAATCATTATTAACATTTCAAACTTCAAACAATCATGGTTCTCATTTTTAAGGCTTCATTGTAAACATCTAACCAAATAAAAAACAGACATTAATATTCTCTTTGTGTCAGGTACATGGGTGTGTCAAGATGGCACTACTGATGTAGAGTACAGAAACTGGAAGGATGGTGAACCGAGTAATAGCGGAGGAAGAGAAGATTGTGCAGCAGCGGGAGAATCTGGTTGGAATGACGTTCCATGTGACGATCTCTCTCCTGTTATCTGCCAACGACCAGCACCACAGCTGCACTTTTAAGTGTCAACAAAAACACTGACTGCTCATCAAAAAATAAGTACACATAGTAATTTCTTTTCTTTTATTGTAAATTATACCCTCAAAAAAGCAAGGTATCATGTAGACAGTACTGTGAATATGCAACTGAACAATTTAAGGCAATCGTACATTTTGGGCAAATAATTTTAGAAGATGAAAAACAATTTTAAAATATAATAATAAAAAATAACAGCGTTGCTGTTGAAACCCCTCAGCCAGAGTCAAGTTATCATCCGGAAACCATTAATCTTTAACTCAACATGGTGACCTTCACCTTTGACCCCAGAACCAGTTCAAACATGTCTGTACCGATGGAAAAACCCCTACCGAATTAGACACCAAAATTTCATTTCTAACTCAAGTTATCATTCGGAACCATTTACATTTAACTCACCACGGTGACCTTGACCTTTGACCTTTTGACCCCAAAAACCAATCCCAGCTTGCCTGTACCCAAAGGCAACCCCCTACCTAAGTCAAACACCAAAATCTCATTTCTTACTAAGGTTATCATCCGGAAACCATTTACATTTAACTCACCAAGGTGACCTTGACCTTTGACCTTTTGACCCCCAAACCAATCCCAACTTGCCTACTCCCAAGGGCAACCCACTACCAAAGTTAGACACCAAAATCTCATTTCTAACTCAAGTTATCATCCGGAAACCATTTACCTTTAACTCACCATGCTGACCTTGACCTTTGACCTTTTGACCCCAAAACCAATCCCAACTTGCCTACTCTCAAGGGCAACCCTCTACCAAAGTTAGACACCAAAATCTCATTTCTAACTCAAGTTATCATCCGGAAACCATTTACCTTTAACTCACCACGTTGACCTTGACCTTTGACCTTTTGACCTCAAAACCAATCCCAACTTGCCTACTCCCAAGGGTAACCCTCTACCAAAGTTAGACACCAAAATCTCATTTCTAACTCAAGTTATCATCCAGAAACCATTTACCTTTAACTCACCATGGTGACCTTGACCTTTTACCTTTTGACCCCAAAACCAATCCCAACTTGCCTACTCCCAAGGGCAACCCTCTACTTAAGTTAGACACCAAAATATCATTTCTAACTCAAGTTATCATCCGGAAACCATTTACCTTTAACTCACCACGGTGACCTTGACCTTTGACCTTTTGACCTCAAAACCAATCCCAACTTGCCTACTCCCAAGGGGAACCCCCTACCGAAGTTACAACCCCAAACGACATTTCTAACTCAAGTTATCATCCGGACGTCCGGACGCACGGACGGACGGACGCCCTAGGCGATGACAATACCCCTCGAGCCTCTCGGCCGAGGGGTAAAAAGATTGCTGAGGCATGAGGTACTCTGTATAGAATACTTAGTTCTAAACTAATGTCTTTTTGTAATTTGCGCTTGTTGGAAAATAGTTTCACTTATCTGTATTTTTCATTCACGAAAAATGTGTTGTCAACCAATGCAACTGAACCACTTAGACAATCACAAAATTTGGGCAAACAATTCGACATAATAAAAAAAAAAAAATTTTTGGTTTTAATAGTAGTCCTCATAGAATACATTGTGTGAATGTATCTATTCTAATTTGTGCGTGCGGAAATATTTTTAATTACAACTTTATTTCGTTCAGCTTTAGAACTTTTCAATTTTCTTTTCCGTTTGTAAGATAGGCCTAATCTCAATCTAGTTTTAAACAAGTACGTTTAAAACAAGCTAAGGACCTGGCCACCAGTTTACAACCGTCCAGCAGATATTTTTATTCCCATTTTATTAATATCTTTCAGTCAAAAATTCAAATCAAGTCAAACAATCACAAATTTCTAACGATTTTGTTCAACATTTACTTCATGTTTTGTGAAAACACCCCTCTGACACGTTATGGCTGTTTAAATTTCACATTAATCGACAGGTCAAAAAGAGAAACTACTGAGAAAAATAGGCCTTTAAAGTATAGACTTTTGTATTCGTGAAAAGGAAAGATACCAATTGTTTGTTTGTTTTTTAACTTTTATTCCACGATTGTTATGTTATTTCTCTAAATTACGTGTTGTTCACATATCAAAGATTACAAATATCAATAAAGGTGCACAAACAAAGTTCATTCACATTTGATTTTTGCATTTTTTCCACTAAGGCATGTGGCCAGTTCCGTCTCATTTTGCCAGAATGACTCACATATAAAACTAGAAAAGCTATCGGCTACTTTGACTGATCAGGTCTGAGATGCAATATCTTACCAACGCTGCTTTGGAAGGAGTTGCACATCAGTTATTAGTTTTTGGCCTACAATGGGGATGTGTACGTCTCCTTCTGGTAATCATGGCAACAGAGGTAAATATACATGAGTTATATGGCTTCAAACTCACAAAGCAGAGTCTTGCAAATATGTCCAATTAGAAATTTCCTTTTGCGTCCGTTGGGGCAGAATAAATAAGGGGACTAGTTAATGAAAAGAAAATATTTACAGCATCGTCAAGCTCACTACTGAAATTACGGATTGGTTAAAAGAGAAAAGAATCGTCATTTCACCGCTGGGAACCAGTCTGGTAACATCTGATAAAGATGTTGCCTAAACGGCTCATCGTTGGCTTGATAAGCCTTTGTCTTATGATCAGATGCACTGGTGGTAATGAGAGGTGTGGAGCCTCCATTAGAGGGGCGTGTCCTCCTGCTTGGAGCCAGTGGGGTGACAAATGCTACAAGAAACTCAGCGGAAAACTGCCATGGGCTGAGGCAAAACAGGAGTGCATCAAGATGGGAAGTGTCTTGGTCATGCCACAGTCTCAGGAGGAAACTGAGTTTCTTCAGAGCCGGTTTAGTCCTCGGTTTTGGATTGACTGCAATGATCTTCAAAGGGTAGGTACGTACAAAGTAAATTCGGTAGAGATCCCTCCTTTTCCACCTACTACAAGTATAGACACCAGAACTTTGAGACATTGGAAAAAGTTGAAAGAGTTCATATTCTGTCGATGCATTTCACACAAAGTTTATATTCTACAATACTTTTATAGGTTCATGGAAGTGTCAGAATGGTCAGAGCATAACCTCTAGGAACTGGGAACTTGGTCAACCAGATAATGCCAAGGCATACAGCAACGCTGGAGAGGATTGTGCCGTCGTCTGGACGACCACAGGCCAATGGAATGACTTCCCCTGCAAACGGGAACAATCCGCAGTGTGCACGAAGCCTGCACCCAACTACACCTTTGAAACTTACAGTGGAAAACCATCACCCAAAAACAGAGACACTCTCAATCCGACTTTCATTGTTGTTCTACAATCAGCAATAATCACGAAGACAAAAACGATTCAGTTATCTTGCAAGACGTTTGTGAGTCAGTTTGAACACATCCATAATACCATATTCTGCCATGCAGTCATTTGAAAAGCCTGAAGGACACACTCTTGAAACAAATCTAAATATTACATCTCAAAAGACCTCTATTAGCTACAGCCTAGTGAAAAATGACAAAGTAGTAGCTCAAACAGGAAAATAATTCCCAATAGGAAGAAGAATGACAGTGTGAACATACTTGATCTTTTAGTGTTGCTATAAATGAGCAATTTCACTTTTGCAATTTAACATGGAAGAATGGTACCTAAAGATTCTCAGACAGATAATTCTGTAGTATAGAGAAATTACTGCTCTTATTTAACCTTCTGTTTCACTATTTGGTGGAGTTGATCACTTGTATATATAGGCTAAACATCTAAATACTTTGAATGCACAGCATCATTTTGTTAAAATAATTTCTGCAATTATTTTTCTCTTTGTTCAATGTTTTATTTTATTTTTTGTTTTGGTAAAAAAAAGTCGGAGATGAATCTCTTGCATTGGTACAATGCTTCATGAAGAGTTGTGCGTCGTCCATGAGTTTTGGCCTAAACTTTGGATTAAAATACATCTCCAGATTTTTGGCATTGATGACCGAGGGAGGCTGTTTATTTGTGTTGAATTGTTGATGGACAAATGCTTGTACTGTAGATCTAACTATTGGTAGTATGTCGGTGGTATGAGAACTGGCGAGGCCTTCTATGTGATATTGTTTGTATCATGAGGGTATACAGGAACTGACAGGAGCTGTATAACTTCACAACATATCAATCAGATATTCAGCATACGATTTTTTTTGGTTAGAGAAACCAATGATAAATTTGGAATTTTCTGTTGAGCCTGTAAAATGCAGTACATAAACCTTGTACATGTATATTCAAACCATATGCCCTACTTCTCCATTCATGGAGCAACAAAAAAGATTCCATGAATCAATATTCAGCCTTCACTTTCTAAAAAGCCACTAATCTTTACTTTATGTGGTCTGTATAGAAATGAAATTATGGTAACCTTGGCAATTCCAGTAAATAAGAATCGGATACGTGTTTCAAATTCACATAGGAAAGGCTAGCCAATGTGTCCAATTGAAATATTCTCTTTGTGTGCATTGGGGCAGAATAAATTGAAGGCACGTCAAGCGAGCTAAACTACCATATAGGATAGATGACAATAACACCCTTCATTTCACCACTCGTTACCATTCCGGTAACATCTGAAAAAGATGTCTGAACGTCTCATCTTTGGCTTGATAAGCCTTTGTCTTATGATCAGATGTACTGGTGGTAATGAGAGGTGTGGGGCCTCCATTAGAGGGGCGTGTCCTCCTGCTTGGAGCCAGTGGGGTGACACATGCTACAAGAAACTCAGCGAGAAACTACCATGGGCTGAGGCAAAACAGGAGTGCATCAAGATGGGAAGTGTCTTGGTCATGCCACAGTCTCAGGAGGAAACTGAGTTTCTTCAGAACAACATGTACAGCCGGTTTTGGATCAACTGTAATGATCTTCACGTTGAAGGTTTGTCAACTTATATTGCTAAAATATTGACTGACTTCCATTTCCAAATTGTTTAGAGGAAACAATGTTGCTTTCATTTTGGAAAGCAAAGTAATTTCATTATTAAAAGTTTCAAACGTCAAACATACATGAATCTTAAAGCTTCACAGTCAAATTCAAGCCAAATAAAACCTGACATTATATATGTCTGTGTGTGTTAGGTTCATGGATGTGTCAAGATGGCACCACTTATGTGGAGTACAGAAACTGGAAGGAGGGTGAACCTAGTAATAGCTGGGGAAAGGAAGATTGTGCAGTATTGAGTCCTGCTGGTGATTGGAATGATGTACCATGTGAGAATCACGTTCCCACTATCTGCCAACGACCTGCACCACAACTGCACTTCTAAGTGACAACAAACAACCGACTTGTCATAAAAAACATAACAATTCATTTTCTTTTATTGAAAATTACATCCCTCAGAAAAGCAAGGCATCCTATAGACAGAACTGTGAATATGCAATTGAACAATTTGTACATTTGCAAACTTTGGGCAAACACTTTTAGAAATTCGAATAACAATTTTAAAATGTAATAATCAAACAATTGTTAATGAATTTGGTACTCTTCAGAGGATACTTAGTCCTAAGCATGTATCTTTTCAATGTGTGCTATTTGGAAAACAGTTTCACTTGTTGCTCCGCAATTTTTCAGAGCAAACGAATATATGCCATTGAACCACTTGGGCAATTATAAAAATGGGCATACAATTTGACATGATTAAACAATGTTTTTAAATGATGAAAATTGATGTGTTGGTAGTCCTCACAGAATGCATGTATGAATGTATCTTTTTTAACATTTGTACTTGTGGAAAATAGTTTAATTATATGTTTATTTCAATTTAGATACAGAACTTTTCAATTTTCGTTTCCTTTTATCTCAATTTGATCTGTAACTATTCGATGGCATGAAATAAATGAAAATCTGATGCTGCAGTATTTAGTCAAGACTTAGTCATTTGTTATATCTTTGCTTATGGAGCACCTTTCTCAGAATATTTTGTCTGATTCTTTCAATTTCACCTTCGTTCAAGTCTTTTTCTCATTTTAATGTTAAATAACATCAGTTCTGTTACAGTGTTAACTTGGTAATATGAACCCAATGCATTCACTGATATAGCTACTAAGGGAATAAATATGTGCTTGGCCGTTTTTAACCAAGTAAGTTCAATACCAGCTAGGGACCTGGTCACCAATTTTGAACGTACTTGTTTGAAACCATCCAAGCAGATATTTATTCCCATTTCATAAATACCTTTTTGGTCAAAAATTCAAAACAAGTCAACAAATTCACTAAATTCTAACAATCTTGTTCTACAATTTACTTCATGTTTTGTGAAACATCCTTCTGGTCATGTCTACAGAATGTGCCTCACGCGCGGGGTGCTAAAACAGATACGTTTTATTTGTTAGCATAAATAGCATTGGCATTGAGAAGGGACAGGATATTTATTGTCATTGAATTATCAAAAAAGGAGGCCAAGGTTTATATAAGTATCATGATCACGTTCTGAACAACCAGATATTACCAACCAAATGTTATGCGAGATGCAATGATATTGACTTGCAATGTCCTACCTTAGAAAGCTCTGACAAAGACTTCTGTTTTCCGTTGTCATAGTAACCAACCTCTTTCAATGTCCATAAACATAGTGAATTTTGTATCAATAAAGTTCTGCGGGCAGAATGAAATTCGCAGCGCAGTTTATTGATTAATTTCAACAGAAATAAATGAAGTGTGAATTCTTTTTGCATCCACTGGCGCAACACTAATAATGTGAACACTTTAAAATTAACTGCCATACAGCTTCCATTGTAGCACTGCAGAATGACATCTGAGAAAGGAGAACACAATGCGCATTTTACCACAAGGCACCAGTCTGGTAACATCTGAAAAAGATGTTGCCTAAACGTCTCGTCGTTGGCGTCATAAGCCTTTGTCTTATGATCAGATGCACTGGGGGTAATGAGGGGTGTGGGGCCTCCATTAGAGGGGCGTGTCCTCCTGCCTGGATCCAGTGGGGTGACAAATGCTACAAGAAACTCAGCGGGAAACTACCATGGGCTGAGGCAAAACAGGAGTGCATCAAGATGGGAAGTGTCTTGGTCATGCCACAGTCTCAGGAGGAAACTGACTTCCTTCTGAAGAACCTGATCCGCCACTTTTGGATCGACTGCACTTATCAGCAAATTGAAGGTTTGTTAACTTATACTGCTTTAACAATCAAGGAATTCTATTTTGGAAGATATTCATAGGAACCACTTTTTGTCTCTCCCTTAAGGCAAAAAAATGTCATTATTAACATTTCAAACTTCAAACAAACATGGTTCTCATCTCTTCAAGTTCCATAGTAAAATTTTAACCAAATAAAACCAGACATTTATATTCTCTGTGTGTGTCAGGTACATGGGTGTGTCAAGATGGCACTACTGATGTGGAGTACAGAAACTGGAGGGAGGAGACTGGTGAACCTAATAATGGCGGGAAAGGAGAAGATTGTGCAGTAGCAGCGGGGGAGTCTGGTTGGAATGATGTACCATGTGGGGGTCTCGATCGTGTAATTTGCAAACGACCTGCACCACAGCTGCACTTTTAAGTGTCAACAAAAACACTGACTGCTCGTCAAAAAATAAGTACACATAGTAATTTCTTTTCTTTTATTGTAAATTAATCCCTAAAAAAGCAAGGTATCATGTAGACAGTACTGTGAATATGCAACTGAACAATTTAAGGCAATCGTACATTTTGGGCAAACAATTTTAGAAGATGAAAAACAATTTTAAAATATAATAAAAAAGATTGCTGAGGCATGAGGTATTCCGTATAGAATGCTTAGTTCTAAACAAATGTCTTTTTGTAATTTGCGCTTGTTGGAAAATAGTTTCACTTATCGTTATTTTTCAATCACGACAAATGTGTTGTCAACATATGCAACTGAACTACTTAGACAATCACAAAAATTTGGGCAAACAATTCGACATTATTGAAAAAAAGAACTTTTTTGTTTTAATAGTAGTCCTCATAGAATACATTGTGTGAATGTACATTTTAATTTGTGCTTGTGGAAATATTTTTTAAATAAGACTTTATTTCGTTCAGTTTTAGAACTTTTCAATTTTCTTTTCCTTTTGTAAGATAGGCCTAATCTCAATCTAGTTTTTAAACAAGTACATTTAAAACAAGCTAAGGACCTGGCCACCAGTTAACAACCGGCCAGCAGATATTTATTCCAATTTCATTAATATCTTTCAGCCAAAAATTCAAATCAAGTCAAAAAATCACAAATTTACAACGACTTTGTTCAACATTTACTTCATGTTTTGTGAAAACACCCCTCTGACACGTTATGGCTGTTTAAATTTCACATTAATTGACATGTCCAAAAGAGAAACTACTGAGAAAAATAGGCCTTTAAAGTATTGACTTTGTATTCGTGTAAAGAAAGGTACCAATTGTTTTTCCTTAAAAAACTTTTATTCCACGATTGTTATGTTATTTCTCTAAATTACGTGTAGTTCACATATCAAAGATTACAAATATCAATAAAGGTGCACACACAAACTTCATTCCCATTTGATTTTTGCATTTTCTTCCACTAAGGCATGTGGCCAGTTCCGTCTCATTTTGCCAGAACGCCTCACATATAAAACTACAAAAGCTATTTGCTACTTTGACTGATCAGGTCTGAGATGCAATATCTTACCAACGCTGCTTTGTAAGGAGGTGCACGTCATTTATTAGTTTTTGGCCTACAATGGGGATGCATACGTCTCCTACTGGTAATCATGGCAACAGAGGTAAATATACATGAGTTATATGGCTTCAAACTCACAAAGCAGAGTCTTGCAAATATGTCCAATTAGAAATTTCCTTTTGTGTCCGTTTGGTCAGAATAAATAAGGAGACTACATGTGGTTAATGAAAAGAAAATATTTACAGCATCGTCAAGCTCACTACTGCAATCACGGATTGATGAGAGAAAAGAATCTTCACTTCACCACTGGGAACCAGTCTGGTAACATCTGCAAATAATGTTGCCTCAATGTCTCATCGTTGGCCTGATAAGCCTTTGTCTTATGATCAGATGCACTGGTGGTAATGAGAGGTGTGGAGCCTCCATTAGAGGGACGTGTCCTCCTGCTTGGAGCCAGTGGGGTGACAAATGCTACGAGCAACTCAGCGGGAAACTACCATGGGCTGAGGCAAAACAGGAGTGCATCAAGATGGGAAGTGTCTTGGTCATGCCAGAGTCTCAGGAGGAAACTGACTTCCTTCAGAAGAACGTGTACCACTGGTTCTGGATCAACTGCAATGATCTTCAAGTTGAAGGTTTGTAAACTTACATTGCTTAAACAATGAAGGAATTCTATTTTCCGAGATGTTCAAAGGAAACAATTTTTCTCTCCTATTGGAAAGGAAAGAATTTTTTCTGATTAACATTTCAAAGTTTAAACATACATACATGATTTTAAAGTCTTAAAGCTTGACAGTAAAATTCAAACCACATAAAACTTCATATTCTGTGTGTGTGTTAGGGGCATGGGTGTGTCAAGATGGCACTAATGATGTGGAGTACAGTAACTGGAGTAAGGGTTAACCTAGTGATTTGGAATGATGTGTCATGTGACGATCACTCTCCTCTCATCTGCGAACAACCAGCACCACAGCTGCACTGTTAAGTGTCAACAAACAACTGACTGCTCATCAAATTACACCCCTCCCCCAACATAGTACATTTCTAAAAACCAAATTTCAAGTATAAAATGTATATAATGTACATTGTAGTGAATACTTCATAAAGTCATTTGAGCTATTGGATATTTGAAGGCACTGTAACAATTGGTTAGAATATTGGAAAATCTGATGCTGTAGTGTTTAGTCCAAGGGTAAAACAAATTTCAAGTCAAACAGCTTTGCTTGTGGAGCCATGTTTTTCTGAGTTAGTAGAATAATTCTTTCATATCTTTGTCTCACTTTCAATTTGTGTAAAAGTGTTACATCCAACCAAATAAAACCAGACATTAATATTCTATGTGTGTCAGGTACATGGGTGTGTCAAGATGGCACTACTGATGTGGAGTACAGAAACTGGAGGGTGGAGACTGGTGAACCTAATAATGGCGCTGGAGCAGAAGATTGTGCAGTAGCGGGAGAGTCTGGTTGGAATGATGTACCATGTGAGAATCCCGTTCCCACTATTTGCAAACGACCTGCACCACAACTGCACTTTTAAATGGCAACAAAAAGACTCACTCCTCACAAAAAGTAAAGCTCACAAACCTACTTAATTAATTAAATAAAAAAAATGGAAGGAAATCATGTAGAAAGCATTGTGAATAGGCAATTGAACTCTTTGAACCATCGTAGCTTTTGGACAAAAAATTGGAAAAAACTGTTTCATTGATGGTAGTCCTTAGAAAATACTTAAGAAACAAAATGTGGAAACAATTGTTTTTTATTTGTTTATTTATCTTTGTTCATTTTCACAGATTATCAATTTAGTTCCTCATTTTCCATGTCCAGTGTTGCCTGGACAACCAATGTATCAATTGGCCACACATATTTTTGCTTTTAAATTTGACTTTAATTTTGAATTCATGTATTTCCTTTCCAAGCTTTGAGAGATCACACTGGTCACATAGTATTTATCACAAAAAATCAAACATAAAATGGATTATGTACAATGTAGTTGATGAAGTGTAATGAATAATTAATCAATTAAATCATTGGGGGCAATTGGATATGTGGTAGCCATGCAACAAACGGTAAATACAATATGCAAAATCTGATGCTGCAGTACTTAGTCCAAGGGTACAAAATACTACAAGTCAAATATCTTTGCTTGTGGAGCCATGTTTTTCTGAGTTAATAGAATAATTCTTTCAATCCTTTGTCTCACTTTTAATTTCAGCCAAATCAGTATACTGTGAGTGTTATGATGTACCTTGGTAGTATGAACCTACCGGTTGTCTTGGTCCAAAACCAGATTTGGATTTTTATTTCCCGTATAGTACAGACCGTCCGTGACAAGCGAGGTCAATACCAACAAGATGAATCAAATCCAGTCTTTGCAATATTGGCAGCGCTACCCAGGGCATTCCGATCATACCTCATGCACGCTGTATTCAAGTTTAATGCATGCGTGTGAGGTATGCTTGGCATTTCCTGGGAAGCGCTGCCAATATTTCGAGGACAGGATTAGATTCATGTTGTTGATAGAGACCTCCACCGCTGCCGCAACTTAACCGCGTTTGTCACGGGACTGGCTGCAAAATATGGGAATAAAAATTCCACATCAGTCTCGGATCAAGACTAGTATGAACCTAATCCATAAAGATGAGTACCATGATTTAATACACATGTTTTTTAGATTACCAACTGAATTGTCACACTGAATTGTTGTTAACATTTTCAATCTAATTTAGACTCACATTGTTGAAAAATAACAAGTTCTATTGTACAAAGCCATACATTTGCAGTTAAATAGTAGGCATCTTTAACAATGCATCATTTCATTGTTTGACTAATATCTATTTTTGGTGGAGTTGATCATTTGTGTAGGTTATGTGACTAAATGACAACATAATTTATACCCAATTGTTAACACAGTTTCAGCTGAACTGCCAACAGTTTTTCTCTGTTGTCTTTGCTTTATTTGTGGTTAATAAAGACTGAGATGAAATCTCTTGCACTGGTACAATGCTTTATGAGGAGCTGTGCATCGTCCATGAGTTTGTGGCCTAAACTCTGGATTAAAATACATCTTCCGATTATTGGCATTGATGACTGAGGGATGGGGTTGATTGATTGATTGCGGTTGATGCGGTTGGTGTTGAATTGTTCAAGGGTATTTGCTTGTGCATGTACTGTTGATCTTACTATTGGTAGTATGTCGGTGGTACGAGAACTGGTGAGGTCTTCTATTGCATCTTGTTTGTACCATGAGGGTATACATAACTTACAGGAGCTCCAAAACTTTACAATACATTAATAAAATATAATTTGTAGAGAGGTAAATGTAGCACTTGATTGTTGAGGGGGCTGAAGGCCAAAAGTTATAAACTTATCCATTCCAAAAAAGGGGGCATATTCATTAGGGCTATCTGACTTGGTTTGACAGGAATTGTGATTAGTTCAAAACTTGTTAAGTTCTGCAAGGTTCCAAGGCAAAATCGGTACTACAAGTTTATTTCGGTCCAAAACTCAAAACAAAACTAGGGAAAAAAGAGTTAACTTTCATCAGACATTATTCTGGATTTCAAAGCATGTTCCTAGAAATAAGGTTGACTTGATCGAGCCGCAAACTACCCATATTTCTATTTGTGTATAGCACTGTGAATGCATGGACACCTTTATGATGTTTTTTGGTAGAATCCAAAAACAAATTTGGCATTTTCTGATGAATCTACTCAATGCAGAACCGGTACCTTGTATATATTCCAACCATGAGCATAAGTTTTCATCCGTGAAGCCATTTTTGAATTGTTTACGTTACTTGTTGATTAATTTATTATATTTATTCATCGACTCATTTTGTGTTTGGTATTTTCAGCAATATTGAAATAAATGTATGAATAAATGAATGCAACAGATTTT